TATACATTTCAAATCTAAATTTTCACCGTGCAACGCCGGGTAACTCAGCTGGTTACACAATAAGTCCACTATATAAAATATTACAAAACAAGCCCAGTAGATTAAATATTACAGACCAAATCCAGTAAATAGAATATTTCAGAATAAGTATAATTGATTAAAAGTTGAATATAAAATATTACAGAATAAATTCAAGATTTTAAAGACTGATACTGGTAAATGAAACATTAAAGACAAAATAAAAAAAAGCCCAAGCGGTATTCATTTATATTTAGTTAGCCTTTGCCTTCTTAGCCTTGCCTTCTTTATTTCAAACGTTCACTGAATCATAAAAATATTTTAAACATCCTTTGATTTCGTTAAGTTCTGTATTTGTATGGTTGAGTATTAGCTATGTATGAAGGTATTTCAACCGTGGAAATGGGTTTGAACTCATCAGATTAGTGACTGCATGCTCGAGTTTCTGCGTTGTATCGTTAGAAAGTGCCTTGAGCTCCAATTCAAGTACAATTTAAATCCATTTAAAATTTTAAATCTGTACTTTTCTCCTATCTGCATGGAATTCGAAAGTGTTCCATTTTGAAAAGTAATTTATTTGGAGTTAGTTTTGATATGACTACGTATATGTTACAATTTCAGTATTTTTAACACTACCTGGAATACTATGGATATTTGAAAACCTGTGTGTTATTAAAGTTCTCCTTGCCAGATACGAATTAAAGTAATATATTCTAATTTTAGAAATTTATTTAGGAAAGATATTTGAATATCTTGAAAGATATTTCAAGTAAAAGATACTTGAATTAATTAGTTATTCAGACTAAGATCATTAGGTTTAGAAGACAGTATTAAAAGTGATGACCGTTTCTGTACATTCTACTTATATAAACTATTTTATCGGCTTGAAGACAGTTGGGCACTCTTGGACCAATAAAGTGCGAGGCCACAGTAATAAGTTTTTCTCTCTCTTCTTGACAGCTGGTGGATGGTCATTTAGTTCAAATTTGAACGGAGTTTCAACTAACAAGTTCTGTACATTTTAATCCTAGAATTTACGATGAGATGGCTATCCATTTTAGCTTTATAAACACATTTTTATATACTATTTATGTTTATAGACCCATAATGTTTTTGGTAACAGGATTCCTAATAACATGATAGTCACACAACAAAATGTAAACACTATTGTAATTAATTTCATTAATTACTACTGCTGGGTCTTTCTTACATGAAAAATTATTGATTTAACTCAACATTTTTTGTCAGTTATTTACGCTGTAATATAAATAGATATAAAGTTACTCAATAAGGCGCAATATGCAAATCACATCTGTAGTAAGTGGTATAAAACAAATCTGTAAATTGAGGGCTAAAATAAAAATTCGTTCCTATTCCTTAATATCCAATCATTCATTTATTGTTATAGTGTGTACACCTTTTACAAGATAGCGAAAAATGATTACAATGTCTTAAGACAAGTACGACTGTAATCATTCATTTATTGCTTGAAAAAAACTTAATTTAAATATTTATATATATTTTTAAGATTTGTGCCAAACATGAAAAAGAAATAAAGATAAATACTTACTTATGCTGTAAGTAGACAAATACATCTGATGTTCGTTTTAGCTTTTAATGCCCTATTGTAGTAGGTTTTTTTCCTTGTCTTAGTTACAACCTCCGCCAAGAAAGGAACTAAAACTCTGACTCTAGTCACTTACACATATAAAGTTGGGTATTGTTTCTGTTTACCATAACAGGTATAACGGACTTCAAAGTTCAATCAGTAAATTCTACTCTCATTTATAGTTCAAACCTGTAGTCCAAGCTAATAATCTTAAAAACACAGAGACTGAGTACGTTACATTAAAACATTTTTGGAGTCTCACCATAACGTCACAGTTCATGCCACCGTGAACTCTATTTAACAACCGTCCATCTTGACCATTGCTCAGCAACGTAGTTTCCATTGCAAAAGCCTCCCTTGTAAGGCTCTTATGTCTAAAGCACACAATCATTACCTGCAATTTTTATATCATATGTGTAGTTCAAGAGGACGACATAGGCGTTTTCCCCAGCAACGGCCCGGCATAGCCAGGTGGTTAGGGCGCTCGACTCGCAATCTGAGGGTCGCGGGTTCGAATCCCCGTCCCACCAAACATGTTCGCCCTTTCAGCCGTGGGAGGCGTTATAATGTGACGGTCAATCCCATTATTCGTTGGTAAAAGAGTT